AAGGGTTTTCGGCATCTTGTGCTTACTTCCTTGCGTACGCATGACAGCCGCGTATGACAATCTTTATTTTCTGGTGCTTTCACTTCCAGAGACAGTTGTAAGCACTGTGTAACTGCCTCGAGGGTGCTTGACCATTTTAACACAACGTGGTGCGATCATCCCCCTTGCGCGGAGTGAGGGTTCTCCACCCCGCACAACATGATCTACTCGGCCACCATAATGGCTACCGCCCAACAAAAAAACAGGTAAAAAAAAAAACGTTAACCTGGTTGCCGAGCTCACGAAGTGAAGTATAGCTTGTTTTACAACGTCGTTGCCAAGCGACGAAAACCCAATCCCGATGGCAAACACCGGGGGGGGCGGCTTGTTTTACAACGTCGTTGCCAAGCGACGAAAACCCAACCCCGATAGTAAACATCGGGGGGGAGCCTTAAGGGGGGGAAAGGATAAAGAACGCCGAAAGGAACGGGGTTTGAGAACACGGTACGCCACAGAAAGAAAATGGAGCCACTGAGAAGATGCTTCCTTCTGGAAATGCACGTTTGCGAGACGAGAATGAGAGAACAATGCCGACTTCAACGACAACGGATATCAGCAGCCCTCACCTCTTGCCGTCGAACGATGGCGTAGACCAAGTGGGCGTTGCCCGCGTACTGGTACTGGATAATGTTCGAGAACATCTCCAGCAGCAGCGAGACGTACGTCTGGTTTGCCTCCGATGCGTACAAATTTCTGCCCGCGCAACAAAACAACGCATGGGGCGGGGGGGGTATGGAGAAGCCTACACACACACACGCGTTTGCAGAGGGTGACGCGATTGGTGCCCGCTACTCACAGCCTCCGTCTTGTGCCGCCAGTAGGTCACGCCCTGGGTCAATCCCTTGGACCAATCACTCAACAGCAGCGTCGAAAACTGCTGGCCTTTGGATGATTCCTGTCACGGTGTCCCCCCCCCCCTCCCTTTCGCCTCTCGAACGCAACCGCTCGCTACAGGCCAAACCCTCTTCCGCTGTTGCAGTTTTACAGAGGTCCGCCAATAAATCGTAGCCCGTCATCACAACAACGTCAAAAAGGAAACACGACGAAATAGGACAGAGCAGCCTACCCCCCCCNCCCCCCCCCCCCCCGACTTGAAGGGCAAAATCAAGGCGCTTGTGGATAAACTAACCCGGGACTAGTGAAGAGCTCGAAGAGGCTGAGCAGCTTCACGGACGCGATCAGGCTCAGACCCTTGGCATACGGAGAGACGTTGCAGAGCACCGTCAGGAAGCAGTGGTAGAGGGTGCTCAGCCTTTCCGACCCGGCAACCAGGAGCTTGTGAACGGTCAGGATCAGGAGGTCCAGGTGCGAGCCTGGTTTTTGGTTTTCAACGTGCACGCAGGAACGGGAGCAGGGTGTGCTCATTTCGCTGCTTGTTTTCGTTGCCGTAAACCGTCGATCGCCACGTGGGACAAGATGGCTCAGTGCTCCCTGGCTCGATTGGCGGCTCCCGTCTTGTCAACAACGAAAGCAGTATCTTAACTACATCGCGAGTTTTTTATTCTCGCCGCACGCAAAGCGCGGGTCATTAATTCTCGCCGCGCGCGCCAAGCCTGAAAGAGCGCTAGTTTCGATGCTACCAAGCACACTCACAGCACTGAATATTTTCGGCCCACGGCCATGACGCCTACTTCCATCCTCTACCAACGGAGCTCACGGGCTCATATCGCTCACCGGAGAAAAGGGGCAGGTCCGTCGGCAGCCGCACGCTGCAGGCCTTGTTGATGGCCACGCCGAAGGCCCTCTCCCCGGACAGCTTGAGCAACACGAAGGTGCAGATGTGGATCAGACCCCCCTTAGAGACGTCCTTACGGTTCTCTACCAGGAGGTAGCACACAGGCACCAAGATCTACCGCGCGGCGTGCACGTGGTCAAGGCGAGCCGGCGTCGCCGCCGAAATTTCCGGCGGCGCGTGGGCCCGTGTAGAAAAAAGGGGGACCACGGCGAGGGTGGACAACGAGAGGGAAAAAAGGGCGAGGAAGAGTTTAACGGGATTCCTTCATCTTCGTGTCGCCGAGAGGATTGGCGCACGGGGGGTGTGTCGTATGCTGACAAAACCTGCGGTAACATGTTGTCGAAAAAACGGAGACGGGGCTACCGTGCAGGCATGGTGTCCGTCGTCTTCCAGCGAACAGAAATCGATCAACCACAAGATAGGCTAGTTCAATACACACCTCATTGATGTCGCAGTTCTTGAGAACGTACTGCATGAACACCGGATTCTCCTCCAGCAGCTTCCACAGCAGCACCAGCACCTCCTGGTAGCAGTAAACCTATGTGGACAAACCAAGGCGCGATCGAATCGGTCCAGTTGTCGACCTTGTGTGTTGTGCACTTGTTCGGTTCCAGACTCACAAAACAAAAACACCAAATGTGCAGTAGGTGGCGAACCTCCATACTGTTACATTTGCACTATACTTGTTGACTCTTGGTGGCACGTGCGGTTACTCTTCACTGCAGAAGGGCAATCAACAACAACCGCGAGACTCCCCTCCAAAGAACCGGGTGGCCATATCCCTACCCGCAACAGGATAATCGATCAAGCTCCGAGACGTGATGAGAGGAAAACACGAACCTTTCTGCGATCCCACATAGACTCGGGGGGCCGCAAAAAGCAAACACAGCAGAGCATCGCGACGAAAACGGCGGGTTGCTGGTGCGCAGCGCGCCGCCGGTTATCCGTATCGTTTCCTGCGGAAATTCAGATGGTACCTCCGTGGCCGCCCCGGGCATGTAGGTGTTCCGCGAGCGGTGCAGGGTGTTGAGCAGCCGCGACAGACCGGTGTAGACGAGCTCGAAGTCCTCCTCGTCCTTGAGGCCGTGCAGCACCAGGTTGCGGAAGACGTTGTAGCCCACGTCGCCGGGGGCGGGGGGGTCTTCCCTCACCGCCGTCTGCTGGTCCTTTCGAGCAAGACAGGTCGCCGTTCAACAAAACCGACATTTATTGGCGACAGGACAAACTCGTGCAATGAAACAGGAAGACGGCAACAGCATACAGACTCACAACAAGAAAGAAGAGGCGTGCACATGCACGCGAGCGGTCACGAGATGGAGGGGCTTGGCAGCCGCTGGCACTTGCTGGTGATGCCGCATTCTTGGTTACAAGGTTGGATAACCGATTGACCCCGACGTATCGAAGGCGCACTCCACCAACTAGACAATACTTGAGCGGCTTACCATAGGGAAAAAAGGGCAGCAGGAAAACATGCGATGCAGAAAATTTCTTGGCACAAGGGTGTTTGGGGACGCAGGACACCAGGTCTGGCGATGCGACAAGAAAAGTCCTCCAGGAAAGAAATTACCGCTACTGTTGCTGAGAGCCTGAGAGATCATCAAGGTGCAGACGACCGTAGTACCTCGCGTACGACACTGGAACCGACAGGGATTCGTCCCGCACCACGTACATACCGCAAGACGAAGGAGTTGATACAAGAACAGCGGCCGAACTACCACCTCCACCAACAAGAAAACAACTGCAGAAGCAGCAGCAGTAGCAACACCAACAACAGCCATAACAACAGCCATAGCCATGGCAACAGCGACAACCACCAACACAGCAAAGAACGAGCGGATGCTGCGCACTCACCGGCGATTCCCCGTCCGGCCCCGCAGAGCTGGTCACCACGGGTAACGGCGGCTTCCCGTGGTCCAGCAGCACGATCAACAACTAATTGCCCCAAACCACATGCAACACCGGGAGAAGGACCAAGGAAAACGGCGCAAACGGGTGTCACAGGTCAGGGAGAAAATACGTCAAGTGTTCAGAAAACGAACATACACGGAGTGAGAATATACACCAAGACACAGAGATGAAAGCGGGAATGTGTATCGGCGGGGAGGGGGGGTGGAGGAGACAACGAAAAGTGTCTGAACTGCACTGTGTAGCGGGAGGGAGTAAGGGACGAAGAAGGGCCGACGAAGACGCAACTTGAAATCACTCCAGCCCGTTGGTGTGGTCACCACTCATGTACCAGCACAACAATTCATCTTCCGGAGAGCTCAACCGAAGACCAGTACGCCTCCAAGCAGAGAAGCCAAATGAAGTATCTCGGATGGAGAACAGCAGAATTCGCATGGACTAGCAAACAAAAGAAACGGAAGAAAACAGGGGTAAACGAAAACAAATATAGGAGCTCGACGGAACAGGGGCTTTTGCCGCGGAGGGGAACGGGCGTCGCCAAGCAGGGAGGGAACCAAGCATCGAGAACTCATACACACGAATCCTCGGCGCACGCACACGTTCATACCTGTGCCGACATCTCCAGCTGACGGGCGGGGAGATCGGTGGTGAACGACCCCGCGTACGGGACCCCCCAGCCCACTGGATCGTACGTGGCGATGACGCTCAAGAGGGAGAAGAAAAGCTCCGCGGCGAACGGGGCGTCGGCCTTGCAGACCTCTTCCGCAAACCTGTCGCATGTGGCGCGGGTCGCAAGAAGAACGGGGTGAGGGTGAGGCATTGCGCGACGTGGTCGCCGCCCGGAGGCATGCCGCGAAGTCGGTAGAGGGTTGCGTTCATGCGTGCGATGTACATGTCACCGGTGCCGCGGTGCGCTAACGAAGAGGCAAGAGGGGGAGGGAGACGAGAGAGACGGAGAGAGAGGATACAGAAAGAGGGGACACACACGGAGAGAGAGAGAGAGAGAGAGAGAGAGAGAGAGAGAGAGAGAGAGAGAGAGAGAGAGAGAGAGAGAGA